GAGACTATTAATATTAAATGCTAACTCAAACATCTCTTGGATATTTGTGTGTCTGTATGGTTTTGTCTGTGGTCTGTAGGTGTATGTCTTGAGAGAATGAGAGAGAGAGAGAAAGAGAGAGAGAGAGAATCAGATAGAGAGAAGAAGAACAGTAGGTAGAACACAACTGGAGGAATCAGGGAATCATGGAGATCAAGGTTCATAAGAACAGTATATTGGCTTGTGTTCTTATGTGTCAACAAACTTTTCCCTTCTAAGGATCTACCTACTAAAATCAGGAGGATTTTATTTGATATCATTTCCTTGGTTGAAATGCTATCTAGGAGTAGAAGGAAGTGCATGAATTCAGTGTTTCTCAGTCATGAATCTGCAGTTGCAGAGAGTGGAAGAGGATGAAAACCTGGAGATTGGAGGAGAAGTTAACAATAAAATAGGATAGTTTTTGGTAATCTTTTTTCATCTCTTTAACAATACCTGTCTCAACTCATTTTTTGAACCATTTTCGGGAGCTTTCTAAAACAAAATAGTTTTATGTGTTAGTCAAATGAGGTTTGAATAATAAAAACTCAAAGAACATACACCTTTACCCTATTCAGAGGAATTGCTGGAGTTGGTAGGAGGAGAAAAGTGGGTATCAAGTAGGGCTTCAACTTCAAATGTTTTCTGATCCAAGCTTGTCCCCCCAGAGTCATCCTTGCACCACTGAAAGGGCTAATATGTAGAGAAGTATATAAGTGACTTATTGCTCAGGACCAATGGTGTGAACCTTAGCTTTCAGGAGACTGGCTGGGGTAACAGTAAAGCACAAGGCCCGAGTCAATATTTTTTCCCTAAACTGTTTTCTCCAAAAAAGACATTTGCATTTAGGATAGATTAACATTTTCATAAAATCACTGATAACCTTACTGCTCAGAGATAATAACAGTTATTATTTTAATATAGCTCTTTGTTTTTTTATTTACCATCATGCATAATATATGAACAAAATCTTAGTTATCAAGGTACTTTCACTTAATAGGGTATAAAGAGCCCTTGCATCCATTGTCCTATCACTTGAGGCTGATTCTCTGAAACAGTTGTTCCTTGGGAAAGAAGATGTCTTCCTTCTTCAGACTCCCTGCTGCCTGGGGTACTAGTTACCCAGAGCAAAATGGACATACATGATAGTCTTTTTGAAATGGCTAGTTAAGAAACAGCTAAAAAATTGTTAGCATTTTGGAGAGGGCTCTAGGAACCACAATTTTTTTTAGCTGGGAAAGCTTAAGCCTGAAGAAGGTTGAAAGAAGGGAATCATGATCATCACATATTCCCCACCTGGACTCCAAAGCTAGTAGTTGCACTGGAGCAGAGTCAACACCAGCTAATTTCTCCCACATTTGCTTGAATTCTCTCTAATTATATATATTTTATATATACATATCTGTATATACATAAATATAAATATGCAAACATTTGCATAAATTTACCATATATACTGTAACAAATAATATTATATAGTTATATGTAGTTACATATGTAATGATTTTGTTGAATTATTTGAATTGAACCATAACACTTCATCCACAGAGATTTCAGCATGAATCACTGAGAATGAGGACCTCCTCATAGTACCATATGACTATTGTAAAATAATTATTTTATTATGTTATCTATTATTTAGTCCTTATTCAAATTTCCTCAAATGTCCCAACATTGTCAAAGAATGCCTTTCAGCTCTATTTTATTTATCATAACTAGGTAAAAGGGGATGGTATATCCCCCCCCAGATTATTTCAGTCTTATTCTATTTTTTAATAGTTTATCAGAAAACAACTTGTCAACAGATGATTGGGCTCCTTACATCTCTAGGAAGAAGATAGCATGTGTGGACAGATAGGATGATTAAGCAGCCATTCATTTGGCCATTTTCACTGTATGTGATCATCTAATATTGTGTCTCTGCCTCTAATTCTAGTAGAAGCCAATAAGCCAAGGCCACTGTCAAATAATGAATTTTGGGCCCAGGATTCTCTTAGGAACACAAAGGGCAAGGATGTCATTTCCCCTTGGAGAATGGAGCCATCATTTGCAGAGTACACACCTAGTGTTCTGTGTAATGTCCCTCAATTTGTGTTTGCCTAATCATTTCCTCATTATTAAATTCTGGTCATACATTTCTGAGGGGAGTATCAGGTACATTGTGTTGTGCAGCCAGCAGAGAGGATCAAGAAGCACTTGATTTAAATTTGCCTGACTGTTGGTGATGTTTGCTTTGGTTAATGTTCTGTCCAGAAAAACATCAGTAATTCATGAGGAGAGCATTTGAGATGCTGTAAACATCCTGTATCACTGAAATTTTCCATCAATTTCAGAATTTATGAAAGAATCTGTCTAAATTAATTATTATTCCAATGGTGGCAAAATGGCTATTTTCTAACACTATTCCTTTTATGTATTTTTGCTGGCATTTAATGTAAAGAGTAGCTTTTCATTGTCCCCTCTTCTCTTTCTCACTGTATCTTATTTGATGGCCTATCAGTTGCAACTCTGTGGTAGCATAAAACGTGCCCCCTAAAAATGTCCACACTCTAACCCTCTAACTTGCATATGTTGTCTTAGGTAGCAAAAGGGATTTTGCCTTTGTGATGAAGGTTAGAGGTCTTGAAATAGGAAGATTATCCCAGATTCTCTTACCTAATTACCTGCATCTGTACAAGCAAGAAGCTTTCCTGACTCTGGGCAGACAGAGAAGATAGAAGAATGGCCACAGACGTGTGTCTTGAGAAAGACTTGCTCCTTCTTATTGCTGGATTGGTGGATGGAAAAGGTGGCCACAAGCCAAGGAATGTGGACAGTCTCTAGAAGCTTGAAAAGGCATAAACCAATGCAACCTTGCCAATAGTGTGCCTTTTAACCTAATGAGGTGTATGCTAGATTTCTGAAAAAACAGACTTGTAAGATAATAAATTTATATAATTTTAATCTGCTATATTTGTGGTAATTGTTGCAGCAACAATAGAAATCTGATACAAACATTTTTTTATTTGGAGGTTGCTAGAGGGAATATATATATATATATATATAAATTTATCACAGTCACCCTAAAACAATGTTATACTGCTTTCCAAATATTCTGAGATCCTTACCCAATATAGTTTTATTTTCCTGCCTCCAGCATTTGTGTTATTGTGACGTTTTTATAGCTCCATGTATTAGAGATCACACAATATGTAACACATTGTAATTGTTTGGCAGTAAGCAATTGCCTTTTTTAAAAAAATTTATTGTTGTTCAAGTACAGTTTTCTGCCTTTCCCTCCAACAGTCCCTACCTCCCACCCCTATTTCCAATCCTGCCATTGTTATTGTCCATGTGTCCTTTATAACTGTTCCTGCAAACCCTTCACCCTTTCCCCCCTATAATCCCATCCTCAATCACCTCTGGTCACTGTCAGCCTGTTTTTAATTTCAGTGTCTTTGGATATATTTTGCTTGCTTGTTTGTTTTGTTGATTAGGTTCCTGTTAAAGGTGAGATCATATGGTATTTGTCTTTCACCATCTGGCTTATTTCACTTAGCATAATGCTCCCCAGCTCCATCCATGCTGTACCAAAGGGTAGGAGCTCCTTCTTTCTTTCTGCTGCTAAGAATTCCATTGTGTGAATGCACCATAGTTTTTTGATCCATTCATTTACTGATGGGCACTTAGGTTGCTTCCAGCAATTGGCTATTGTAAATTGTCAACAAATGAAAAAAGCAAACAAAATTAACCAGAAACATAGAAATTAAGAACAATCTAACAATAGCCAGAGGGGAGGGGGGAGGGGACAGTAGGGAGAAGGGTTTTCAGGAACTACTATAAAGGATACATGGACAAAACCAAGGGGGAAAATGGAAGCATAAGAGGCAGGTGGGTTTGGCTGGGGTGAGGGGGATGGGTGGGGAGAAAATGCAGACAACTCTAATTGAACAACAATAAAATAATTTAAAAAATAAAATAAAATATGTAAGTGCTTTGGAAAAGAAAAATCCAAATTTTACAAAAATTTCTAGCAAACCAAGATAGAAAAGACCGCAACAACAAATATCAAAGGACATTAATATCTCAAAAGCTGAGGATACCAAGATTACACAAAGCCACAAAGGGATGCAGGGGTCCCATCTGTGAGGCCAAGGGCAGAAAACCACAGGAAGTATGAAAACCTAGGAAGACAATCCCCAATCTCTCCTCTTTCCAGGACACCTAGAGAAAAAATATGTTAATTTTGTTAAAGAAAGTCCATGTTTAAGACTCAGGACTGAGTCTTAGCACTGAGAGGCTAGGAAATTTCTGCTCAGATTCTGAAATAGCAGAAAAGAAAAGGAAGAAGAGATCATTGACATCAGGATGGTTTTACGTGACGGGAGAGAGGCTGTTCCTCTCAGCCCTACAGTCCAGGAGGATTACACTGAGGAGACTGCCCAGAATCAAACCCAGCATACTGTAGACTTTGAAAGGTCAACAATGGAGTTAGACCTTCTTTCCACACTCCAGCTCTGTCACTTACTGGCCTTTTGCTTTCGGACATGTTAATAAACATGCTTGTGCCTCAGTGTCCTCATCAGTTAAGTGGGGGTGAATTAAACTGTACTAATTTCACTGAATTAAAAGGACTGAGCAAATTGTTTTCATATGAGGACAGAGCCTACCACCTCATGAATACTTCAGAATTATGTGATTGTGAAAATTGTTTTTACCCTGCGCATATTTGTCCATTGTAAAAGTGTACCATAATGTACATTGCCCCTCCATTAGCACTTTAACTTTTTTCAAATCTGTTGTGAATAGTCATAAAATGAACACCCATATACATATTGATCCAGGTACACATTCAAGAATAGCCATCAAATAAATGCCTAAGGAACGGAATTGCTTGAAAGATGGGTGTGTGCAGTTACATTTTAACAGATATGATCAAACTGTCCTTTAAGGAGAATGCATGAATTCATATTCCCACAAACCATTCATTTTTCATTCATGTATTCAGGTAATCATTCATTTGTCAAGTATTTATTGAGCCTACATATGCCAGGCACTGCTCAAGTGATTGATATTTATTAGTGAACAAAACACATCCTTGTTCATCCTTGTTCACATAGATATAGGTTTTAGTGGATGGTAGGTACATACTAGTAATTCACTGTGATTTTACTATTACTTCCCACATAACTAAAAAAGTTGCATATCCTTTCTCCTATTTATTGTCCACTTGAAAACCCTCTTCTGTGAAGTAACTAGTCAAAGAGTTTGCCCATTTAAAATACTTGAGGTGTCTTTGTGGGATTGTTTTTTTAGTTCTTTGAAAAATCTGAATATAAGTCATTTCATGGATATATTCATTGCAAATACTTAGTGAGCATCGTCCCTTTTGATTATCTTAAATGGTATCTTGTGATGAATAGATAGAAGTTTAAATATTCATTTAAAGAAAGACCTGTTTGTTGATCTCTCATCATTAGTGCTTTTGTAGCCTAATTTTTCAGAAATATTTGCAGAGGTCTAAGTCATAAAGACATTGTCTTACATCTCACACTAGAGGCTTTATAGTTTTTCAAGAATGGGAAGAATTAGAAGAGACAGCTCAGAAATGCCATTCCTGCTGCTAAGAAAGAGGTGGATAACAGCTAAAACACTAGTTGTACAGCAGCTGCTTGTTCGGATAATGCTAGCAAAACTGGCTCAGTGGTTGGCAGCTTGTCCTTCTTCAGACTGGAATGAAACAGACTTCATAGGAGGGTGATACAGAGCCTATCCCACTGAGAAGTGGAGTGGTGTCGATGTCCTTTGGATCAACCACAGATTTCAAGGTAAAATGCTGTAATATGTGCGTCAGTAGTAAAAACAGCTCCATGCGGGCGAGGCCTTCTCCAGCACAAACTCTTTTTCCTAAAAATGACATGCAAATTAAATATTCATTTTATTTCTGTTCCTGAGTTAGCATACAGTCTTAAAAACATGGAATGACAACAGTGTGATAATTGTGGGGGGGAAGTGTGGGTGGAAGTGAAAGAAGGTATGGGGGATAAATGGTAATGGAAAAAATACAACAAAATACTAAGTATTGAAAATGGAATGAATAAAAAAGGTAAACATATTTTTTAAAGATTTTATTTATTTATTTTTAGAGACGGGAAGGGAGGGAGAAAGAAAGAAACATCAATGTGTGGTTGCCTCTCCAGCACACCCAACTGGAGACAGGGCCTGCAACCCAGGCATGTGCCCTGACTGAGAATTGAACTGGCAATCCTTTGGTTGGCAGGCCGGCTTCCAAAACACTGAGCTACAATGGCCAGGGCTATGAAAAGATGCTCAGCAGCACTAGCCATCAGAGAGATGCAAATTAAAACCACAATGAGATACTGCTTCACACCAGTGAGAATGGTCATAATAAACCAACAAACAACAAGTGTTGGAGAGGATGTGGAGTGAAGGAAACCCTAGTACACTGTTGGCAGGAATGAAGACTGCTGCAGCCACTGTGGCAAGCAGTATGGAATTTCCTCAGAAAACTAAAAATGGAACTGCTTTTTGACCCGGCTATTCCAGTGCTGGGATTATACCCTGAAATCCAATCTAAAAGAACCTATGCACCCCATGTTCATAGCAGCACAATTTACAATAGCCAAGTGCTGAAAGCAACCTAAGTGCCCATCAGTAAATGGTTGGATCAAAAAACTATGGTACAGTCACACAATAGAATTCTACATAGTAGAAAGAAAGAAGGAGCTTCTACCCTTTGTGACAGCATGGATGGAATTGGAGAGCATCATGCTAAGTGAAATAAGCCAAGTCATCAAAAACAAATACCATATGATCTCACCTTTAAGTGGGTCCCAATCAACAAAACAAACAAAGAAGCAAAATATAACCAGAGACATTGAAATTAAGAATAATCTGACAGTAACCAGAGTGGGGAGGTTGGAGGTGATAAATGGGGGAGAAAAGAGGAAAGTGTTTTCAGGAACAACTACAAAGGACACACAGACAAATCCAAAGGGGGGGGGGATGGAATCAGGAGAGGGAAGTGGGGATGGCTGGGGTGGGGTGTAAATGCAGACAAACTGCATTTGAACAACAATAAAATAATTATAGCAAATAAATAAATATATTAATGAAAGACTAATTAAACTGTTTTCTCCTATCTACACCCAGGCTGTGTTCTCTTAATTTCCTCAGCACATACTTTTAATAAATATATTTTATTGATTATACTCATAATTTTCCCCATTTTTTCTCCTTTGCCCCCTCCACCCAGTGCTCCCATTTGTTCCAGCAATCCCCCTCTCCTTAGTTCATGTCCAGGAGTCTTGCATATAAGTTCTTTGGCTACTCCATTACCTCTAATATTCTTAACATACCCCTATCTATTTTGCAGCTACCAATTTGAGTTTCCTAATCCCTGCACCTTTCCCCCATGTTTCCCCTTTCCCCTCCCAACTGATATTCCTCCAAATGATCTCCCTAGCTACGATTATGTCCCTGTCCTTCTTGTTTGCCTAGTTTTTTAAATTTTGGAATCAATTTTGATAGCTCTGAATTTATTGCCATTTTAATGTTCATTGTTTTGATCTTCTCTTTCTTACATAATTCCATTTAGCATTTCATGTAATAATGGTTTGGTGATGATGAACTCCTTTACTTTTACCTTGTCTGGGAACCATGTTATCTGCCCTTCAATTCCAAATGATGGCTCTGCTGGATAGAGTAATTTAGGCTGTAGGTCCTTGCTTTTCATCACATTCAACACTTTTTGCCAGTCCCTTCTAGCCTGCAAAGTTACTTTTGAGACCAGCTGACAGTCTTCTGGGAACTCCTTTGTAGGTAACTCTCTGCTTTTCTCTTTCTGCTTTTAAGATTCTCTCCTTTCCTTTAATCTCTGGCATTTTAATTATGATGTGTGTTGGTGTGGTCCTCTTTGGGTCCATCCTGTTTGGGACTTTCTGTGCTTCCTGAACTTAAATGTCTATCACCTTCACCAAATTAGGGAAGTTTCCTTTTATTGTTTTTTTTCAAACATGTTTCCATTGCTTGCTCTTCCTCTTCTCCTTCTGGTACCCCTGTGATTCAGATGTTGGTACATTTAAAGATGTCCCAGAGGTTCCTAAGCCTACCCTTGTTTTTCTGAATTCTTTTTTCTTCCTGTTGCTCTGATGGAATGCTTTTTCCTTCCTTGTGTTCCTAATCAATGATTTGATTCTCAGCTTCATCCTCTGCACTGTTGGTTCCCTGTAGATTTTGCTGTATTTCTAATGCCATGTTCATTTCTGGGTCTTTTTTATGCCAATGAGGTACCCAGTGAGTTCCTGGAGCATCCTGATAACCAGTGTTTTGAACTGTACATCTGAGAGTTTGCTCATCTCCATTTCATTTAGTTTTTATCTGGAGTTTTGTTCTGTTCTTTGATTCGAGCCATACTTCTTCATTTTGGCACTCTCCCAGTGTTTGTTTCTGTATATTAGATAGAACTGCTTTGACTCCCTGTCTTAGTGTGGGCTATGGTAGAAATGCTCACTTGTTAAGTTATATGGGACAGAGCCTTGCGTAATCGCAAGGGTGGGGCATCCCATGTCACTGCTCTGTTACTCTGCATGAGCATCGATGCACAGAGGTGGCAATACTGCTGCCTAGCCTCTGGAGTTTTGCGCAGGAGGAATCTGTCTCCCAGCACTTGCATTTCACTTTCTCCCCATATGTCACTGGTACCCTTCCAGCTGTTGCCCTTCTGCTGTATCCCAGAGTGGGTGTGTCTGTGTGAGTCTTAAGTCTGTTGAGTGCCCTTTAACAAGAGTGTCTTGAAAACCCTGCAGTTTCTTCTGCTGCACCCACCCCCACTAGTTTTCACAGCCAGAAGTTATGGGGTCTTATTTTCCTGGCACCAGGACACTGGGCTGTGTGGTTTGGACTGGGGCTGGAATACCTTGCTTCTGAGATATTCCTCCCATTTTTTATCCACCAAATGTGGATGTGGGACCACCCATTCCCATCTCCACTCCTCTCCATTCCACTCCAAGTGTACATGCCTCTCCATCTCCACACATCTCCTTGAGCCTCTCTGTTCCTCTCTGCATCTCCACCTTTCCTACCTGTGTGGATGAATGTGGCTTGTTAGATCCTTGGTTGTCAGACTTCCACAAAGCTTGATTTTCTGACAATTCTGGGTGATGTTTGTTTTGTCTAGTTGTATTTTGTCTAGTTGTCTAATTTAGCTGTATTTTTTACTATAGATGTGCATGAAGGCAAAGCATGTATAACTACGCCTCCATGTTGACTGGAGCACATATTTCTGTGTGCATGCTTTAGGAAAAAATCTTTTGTGTGCACCCACATTGGATTTACTTTGCTGAAGTCTTCATTGTGACATTTTTACATACACAAACATACACAGTCACCTTCCTTCCCTAGTTGGTACGAGAAACACATTATACTTTTCCATCTATCTCCAACCCAAGATTCATCAATAGGTATATTTCTCCTCATCTAGTTTCTAAAAGACAATTTTAACCTTGTTATGACCCTGACTTCAAAAATTTCAAGAGTTTATCACTGCCAAGTATAAGAAGAAACATCACAAACTAGTCACAAGCATAACTCTTCACTAATCCCCATTCAGACAGGATATTTCAATCTTATCTCAGATTCCACTCATTTTTCCAAGTGAAAATCTTCCTCTCTGCTCTGCCTGCTGTTATTCTTAATTTTTCTAGACCAGTTCAGATTTCATATATTGTACACAATCTTCCTTGATGTGCTCTTGATATGTATAACTCACTTGCTTATCTGATTTCTGCAACCATCATTAATGCTTCTAATATAGCACACTTCACAGGAAATTCTAATCATTCACTCTGGCTGGTGTGGCTCAGGTGGTGGGAGCATCAGCCTGTGAACCAAAAGTTCACAGGTTTTATTCCCCATCAGGGCACATGCCTTGGTTGGGGATTTGGTCCCTGCTTGAAGGCATCAGAAAGGCAATAGATTGATGTTTCTCTCTTATGTCAATGTTTCCCTCCCTCCCTCTCTCCCCGCTTTGTTTCTCACTAAAAAACAAGGAAAAAAATGTCCTCAGGTAAGGATTAAAAAATATATTAAAAATAAATTCTAATTATTCATCTGTCTAGAATTCTGCAATTTAAGTTTTTAAGGTGAGGCTTTATATCTAGTGATGACTATACCCACAGTGTCCAGACAAAAGCTAGCCTGCAGGTCTTATGATATGAATAGAAATCTTGAACAGGCTCGTTGTATAGGAAGAAAGATAAGGAGCATAGCAATGTCTAGCTTTAGGATCATCTCTTGGAATTGCTCATAATCTTGGGACAACAAAGCCAAGGGTTGATTGATACCTATTTTCTTAGCTTTCAATTAGATGCAAATCTATAATTTTTTTCTCTGTTTCAGTGACTTTTATGAGAAAGGCCCATCACCCTCTACTCTTCCCACTTTTTCTCCTTTGGAGTGTGCTGAATATTCTCTATTTCTCCATCCTTTCAGGTCCATTCTGTGCACGTTTGTCTTTCAAGCTTACTCTGTGTTCAGGAAGCTGATTTCTATGACCTGCATAAACCCAGAAGTTAGTTCCTTCTGGGCAATGAATGAACTTAGAGGATTAGATATGGAAATAGCCAGAATATTTATTTTTTGTAGTACCACCCTGTCAGGCCACAGTTTAGACAGTTGTTGTATTCCTCCACCTATAGACAGATCTATTATTGAGGCATCCCATCTCTCCTTCCTAAAGATCTATTTGGGTTCCAGTAACAGAGCCCTTTCTTCATTTCTTCCATCCTAGGATGGTAATGTCCTTCTGTAGGTGCTAGCCCTTGAGGACTTTAGCACACTGTTACTCCTTTTAATCCTCCCCACACCTCTGGAAACAGTCTTTTCATTAAACTTTCTTTAGTGGACCTTTTTGAGCATACCACCTATTTCTTCCCAGGACCCTGACTAATTAAAGGAAGATACTCACATGCTACTTCCTGTAAGAAAATTTCCCTCACCTTCCACCTATGTTGCCTTCTGCTCCACCCCACCAAAAGGCAAGATTCAGGAGCTCCTCTGCTTGAGCTCCCACAACAACTCCTCAATGACCACTTATCTCTCTGGGGTTACATTGCCTGTTAATTTGCCTTACTCTCTCTACATGATCTGTTTCTTACTCATGTTTTATCCTTGGATCTGAGCATGAGGCTGCCACATATAGGATCCTTAGCGAAGTGCATTGAATGAACTGGCTTCTAAGGGAAGGTGAGAAAAGTCTGGGTGCAATTGGACTTCTAGGGGAATCTCAGTGGGGGGTTGTGGGACAGAGCTCATGGAGCAGACTCCAATCCAAGGAGAAATAAGCTGGACTTTTGGGGTGGTGGCACTGGCCTCATGCAATTGTGCATTTGTCCAGGCCAGAGTAGCCTCTATGCGAAGCCTTCCCTCATCTCTTGTGCCCCTCATGTACAGATAAAAATGAAGCTTCCTTACCTGCTGAAAAAGGCATGAAGTAGTCACTCTTCTTAAAGTTGCCACTTTCATCGAGGAAGTGGCCGGGATCAAATTGATCTGGGTTGGGGAACTCTTTGTCATCATGCAGGACAGAAGTCAGAGATGTAAATATGGTTGTGCCCTGATACAAAGAGAAGCAGATAAACAGGGTTATAAAGAAAGTTATGGAGCCTGAAAAAAAACTAGTCCCTCATGTAATCCTCTTGTTTCATACATGAGGATATTGAGATACAAAAAGATAATTTATATATTTCATGTCAATGACCAAGCCTAACAAGTCTTATATCATGCCAGTTCAGGACACTGCTCTGACTCCGAGGCCATCCTCTTCAGTTTGAAGTCTAACGTCAGCACTTGCTTTTCAGAAAACTAAGGAAGCTCCCTGCAATTCATTGTTTGAAATAAAATGCTCTATTGTTTAAAAGTGCTGGTGTCACTGAAAATCCAGCTCATGCTCTTTGGAACCAAGTATGAGGTCTTTTTTCAGAACTCTACCTGAGTGGCTATCTTCTAGAAAACCCCTTATTTCCCAATCAAAATGAGAAACTGGTAAGTGTCCCCTCCCACTGCTTACTAGCTTCAATTGACTTGTTGCATATGTTCTTTCTTGAAATAACTGACAAGTAAGTGAAACAGATAGTTTAGGTGGTAAAGGGAGTATAAGAATCTGGCTAAGAGGTAAGAGTGATAAAACATACCCTGGAAAGCAGAGAAGTGAACAGCAGACTGGGCTGATGGGTAGGTGGACTGAACTAAAAATCCTGTGGGAATCTAAGCAGTATTATATTCATAAAATAGTATCCACAAACTAGAAGCAAAAGAGCATGTAGCCAGAGGGTGAGGTGCCTGATTTCTGAGTATGCGATACCTGTAGAAATTTAGGCAGTCTATAGTTCTACTACAGCAATTGTTAAAACCTGACATTCTTATGGAGGAGTGTAGATGGAATATCTCTCACCTTTGGAATAAAGTAGTCTCTGAACTCAATGTCCTGGCTCACCACATGGGGCAGGTTGTTAGGGATGAGGTCAATGTATCTCTGGATCTCATGCACCACAGCATCTGTGTAGGGCATGTGGCTCCTGTCTTGCATGCAGGGGCTCCGTTCTCTGCCAACCACACGGTCAATCTCTTCCTGGACTTTAGCTGGCAATGTAGGAATCAGAATTCATGTGAAATGCATAATATTTTAGAAGTGACCTTAATTTTGGTTTCTTGTGGTGGAGATGGGGAGAAGGGAAAATTACATATGGCTACCTCCACAAGGGGAAAAAAGAGACAGAATTTCAGCTTTAGGGGAAATTGGAATCTCATTAAATACTTAAATGTATGTACATGTAAAACACAATGGTACCTTGAAATTTAGTTGTCTACTCTGACTCTCTACTTTGTGTATTTTTTTTTTATACACTCAGAGGTCTGGGATCTTGAAGACTCACTACAAACCATGTAGTTTAATTTCTTTGCATGTATTGTTTTTATTTCCTTAAGTATGTAACTTCCAAGGTGCTATGAAGTACCCAGTACAGTAAATTCTTAATAAACAGAACAATTAAATAAAACATTTAGTTGATGCAGCAGTAGAAACAAGAAGGAAGTTAACATTTATTTAGCATGCAAAACTTGACACCATGCCACACTATATATTATATTACTTTATAATTTCTCAAAATAGTTCTATGTCTTGAGCATTAGTTTTTATATTTAAAACTGAGGAAACAGGTCCAGAAAAGTAAACATATTTCTTAAGGACATCCAGGTGTTATGTGGTCTCTCTCATTCCCAAATCCACAGTCTTAGAAAATGAATAAGATTACTGAAAGTAAGTCATGTTAGTGAATTATTTTTCTTTTATCTACAAAGTACCTCAGAGTAATCATACACAGTTTAATTAAGACTATTCATTAGTTCTAAACAAATTCTTATTAACTTTTCCTTTGTGGGAAAGACTGTGCATGTTAGGAATTATTTTCTTTTCCCTTAAAGATTTGAGGGACCTACATATGGAAGAGGTACATGAGGCTCTGGTTGCAGAGCTACTCAGTAGAGTCAGAATTGGAAGTCACTATTTTTAGAGACTGGAACCCATCTTCTCTAATACCAGATTGCTACTTCAGTCAAATGGGATTTATGTACCACCTGAAAATGGGTCTTTGAATGGAGTTTGTGGAAATTCTGTGTCTTATTAGCTTTAAGGAAGAAAAAGTTAGAAATTTTAGAGGAGTTTTAAACTTTGCCTTCTCAACTTGAGGGTCTGGAATTTTGTCCAGAAGAGGGTAACATACAAAGTGGTTAGGAACTGCATAAAAAATCATATTCTTAGTAAAGTGTCACATTAAGAAATGATGATGGGAAGAAAAAAAAAGACAATATAATGGGTCTGATGCAAGAAAAATCCCCAATGGTAAATGACAATGGGAGTGATGAGGAAATAGGACACAATGAGGGCTTTAAATGTTTGAGAGAAATATCATATAATTTGATGATTGTAAGCAATATAGGTCTTATAAGTGTTAGTGAAGCATTTTGACTAAAAGAATGTGTCACATGAAAGAAACACATCATCATCATATTCCATAATGTGTACCTGTGAAGGAACTTAGAGGCCATGCCTCTAAATTGCACCATGTGGAGAGCATTTCATTTATAAGGGAGGGCAGAGGACTTCACATGAAGTAGAAAAATCTGATGCTGATGTTATGGAGATAAGCTCATGAAATTTAATTACACTAAAAGTGTCAGAAACAGAAAATGATACAGTAATGAAGGAAATATCCTCTTAGATGAGTACTCAATAGAAATGAGGGAGAAAATAGGAAAGTTACATTTGTAAGAGAAGTCATGTTTGTGAGGAAAAAGTTATTTGTACAAAAAGGTATATTTAAAAATAATTTTTATTTAGCCCTGGCTGGTGTAGCTCAGTGGATTGAGTGCAGGCTGGGAACCAAAGTGTCCCAGGTTCGATTCCCAGCCAGGGTACATTCCTGGGTTGCAGGCCAGAACCCCCAGCAACCGCACATTGATGTGTGTGTGTGTGTGTGTGTCTCTCTCTCTCTTTCTCCCTCCCTTCCCTCTCTAAAAATAAATAAATAATATCTTTAAAAAATGTATACAATGATATATGGTAATTATAAAAAAATAATAATTCTTATTTGTGTATAACTTATTTTTAGAGCGTCTCTTTGGTAGAGAAAGATTATAATTCCGGAGGAAGGAAAATGGCATCGGAGTAGGAAGGAGCAGATTTGGCTTCCCTCTGCACACAGGAGAGAATCCTGGCCAATCTACAGAGTGGAAGAGCAAACAACCAACACACTTCAGCATATGTGAAAACAGGGGACCAAGGATTGTGGCAGAACCGAAAAACCAGTCTTTGAGAGGAGTGCTGCAACACGGTAGGGTTCCAGGGACCAGCTCAGGGATGGGGAGGTGGGGGGAGGGCTGCAGCCCCAGGCCCAGCGCCCACTGCTGGGTTTGCCACAGAGTCCTTAGGAGAGAGCCGGCACAATTGTTCCCTCCCCAGCAAAACAGGGTCTGAGTGGTACCGAGAGGAACCCAGTTACTAGCAAACACACAAGGGCTGTGAGCACCCTCAGAGTCTGTGGACACCATTGGGGTTAGATTGCACAACAGGCCCTGACCCCCACAGTCACTGGTCTAGCTGGAGAGTTGGGCTGCAGGAGAAGCCAGGCCACGGTGTGGAGCCGCAGGCGCTTGAATAGGAGGAATTTCTCAAGAGGAAGGAGTGAAAAGACAGACACTGGGGAATTCTCCTACAGCAATCGCCGGCCTTCCTAACACCCAGCCAGGCAGCATCCCAACTTTGCACAGAGCGTTGTGCTTCTGTGCAAAACCCTGCGCACCCCCATAGCACTGGGAAGGGTGAGGCCGTTGGCCAAGGGTGCACACACGCTCCAGCTCTTGCATGGGAGTGCATCTCCGCACCCCAGTCCACAGCAGTAACCCTGCAGAAAGACCTGATTCCCACACCCAGGGCGCAGGGCCCAAGAGCCACAATAGATCCCCAGACAGTGCGCGTGGCTGACCGAGTGCTGATAATGAAGGTAGAAAAGCCATACCAATCACCCCTCAGTCCGCGGCAGCAGGAAAGACCAGAAAAACTGGTTTGGCCACTTTGAATCCAAGAGACTTTTTAATTTTATTCTATTTTTTAAAAACAATTCTTAAATTTTTAATTTTCATTATTTTTATTCTCTTTTAATTTATTTTTTCTCTCTTTCCTGCTTTCTTGTTTTATTCCTTCTTCCTTTCTCTCCTCCAATTTTATCTCTTCTTCCTTCCTTCCTCTGCCTTTTTTATTTTTATTTTTTAAAAACCTACAAGTGGGACAAAAACCTGAATCTGTGAAAAGACAAGAGTTGAACCCAAAGAAGGGGAATCACAACAGCTGTGACAGTGAGACAAATTTCACTCTGCTATTAGAGAACCTGGAAGTTATTGCATATTTGTATTATTATTATTTTTCTGTTATTCTTAGATTTTTTAAGATAGTATTTTTGTATTCCTCTTTTTTCTGTATAGTATGCTTTGCTAGACTGGTATATTGTATCACCTGACAGGTTTCCCCTGATATCTCTTTTATAGTGTATTGCTAATGTACTGTCTTTCACCTCACCTGTGTCCCATTAGCACACTACTCAAGGTTCTATACTCCCTGTTCTTGTTATGTAGACCTCATAGATTCTGTCATATGATTGTTGGTCTAATATTATTGTAAATAATTGCTGTTTCATGCAATTGTAAATACTTTACAACACCCCACCCAGAACCTAGCCCACTTCAAGATTTCCTGAACTCTATTACTGTAGTGGTTAACTCTAGTCTCTCACACACTACACATTACTATCCTTTGCTCTCACCTTACCTCAGAATCTGACCTCCCACAACCTCACTGCTTTCTAGATCCAACTCACAATCCTTCCTTCCACAACAAGAGTCTTATTTTCTTTTCTTCTTTTCTAAAAATCAGCTAGTTGGGTAGAAGATCATGGTCAACACTATACATAGTCAAAGGATCTCCTATCTCTTCTCTACTGGCTGATACTGTAAATATCATAGAATACTCTCTTGCTGTTTTACACCATTTTTCCTCCCCCCTTCAACTGATCACAAAAAAGAGTAGGTGGAAGCGGTGAACACCAGGATATCCACTGGAAGAGGAAACCCAACAACAAAGGAACCACTAACAGATAACAACAGAAGAAGGTGAAGGAGGGAGTGGGAACCACACAAACCTCAATCCAGGACCTATCTGGAAATACAACTAAACAGTAGAGACAGTACCCAGTACAAACAACTGAACAAGAGCAAGAGAGAATCCTCAAAACCTTATACACATAAAAGAACCAGCTTCAACACAACCTGCCCTCACCAGCACAACAAAATACAAGAGGTGGTGGACAGAGTGACCCTCATTTAACCAGCTGGTGGGAAGGAACCACCAAAGCAAGACCCAACAACAATCAAAACCCAAAGACAAACACAGAGCCAACTTAAAGGATAGTCCAAGACCAGTGAGCTTGGGAGATCAAGGAGACTGCACCACTGAATCTCAAAGGTAGTCTACCACAGAAGTTCACACCACAAACCCAGGGAGCCAGAACAGATCAATTTAAGAAGCTGAGGCTAACAAGAAGAGTCTCACAAACAATGGGAAGACAAAGAAACAATCCCCAAATGAAAGGAAAGGAGGAAGTCTCAGGAAGAATGCTAAATGAAATACAGACAACTCAACTATCAGATATTGAGTTCAAAGTAACGAATGTCAGGAAGCTCAATAAGCTCACAATGAGCTACCAGAAACTACAGGGAAGCTACAATGAGCTCACTGCAAACTATATCAAGATGAAAAAGGAAATAGAAACTATCAACAAGGGCCAAGAGGAAATGAAGAATACAATTTCTGAACTGAAGAACACAGTAGAAGGAATGAAAAGCAGGACTGACTGGAAGAGCAGAAGACTGGATCAGCAAGCTAGAGGACAAAGTAGAAGAAATCACCCAGAGGGAGCAACAAAAGGAAAAGAGGCTCAAAAAGAATGAAGAGGGGTTAAGAGAAATGCAAGACAATATAAAACCTAATAATATCAATATAATAGGGACACCAGAAGGAGAAGAGGAAGAGC